GCGTGTGCTGCGTGTGTAGTATATATGTATATGTGTATGAGCTGTTTTGTGTGAGCCGTGAGCCGTGGATTTTTAGTGAGTGACCTCGGAGACGGCTGTGTGTGTGTCTGTGCGTGTGTAAGTGTGCGGTTGTGCGTGTGCATTGCGAGAGACTGAAGTGCTACTTTAGTCAGTTCGCGACTTATGTTGGCGCGGTGCGTGTACAAAATTCCCAATAGCGATGTGTAAGTGCTGACTAGACTGGAAATAGAGAACTATAGCGACTACTTCTTATTCCTATGCGTTTTGTGATCGAAAAATTAGTGACTAGCATTCTTCAGGTAACGCAAAAAACAACCCTCCGCTCCTCGCATCCACTTTTTGCACCCCACCACCACAAGAGGACACAAAAGGCGCGCGTGCAATTCCTCACTTCCTTCCTTCCTCCTGCATGTTTATTTGTATTTGTTGCCTTCCCCAGCCTTACGTTTTTCTTTTTTTTACCTTCCCTCCTCTTGACTCTTCCTGACCGGAACTCGGTCAACACTTGCCACCGTCGCCAAGGTTACGTTATTTCACCTCCAATTAACATTTCTTTTTCTCTCCAATTTCGCGACTGCCATTTAAATTTTGCGTTTCCTCTTTCGACTGTTTACATTTCTCGACCCGACTTCGCAACACTTATGCACACACACATCTATAAATATATACACACACGCACACACATAATAGATGAGAAATAAAACAGTTATGTTTCGCGTGTTCGTTACTAATTTGCATTTCGAACCTTCATTAAAATTCATAAACGAATTTTAATATCGCACAACTTAGATAAACTATATTATTTACTAGCAGTTTTACTATTCTACGCACTAAGACGTAGATATTTTTTAATAATTAATCTTTTTTACATTGTATCATTCATTTTGTTACTTCCGCAAAACTTTTCGTTACAATAAAATGAAATGTTTTTTTTTTAATCAAAACGTTATTTTTTCTTACTGGATTTTTGTGTTCCAATTTTGTTTGAAAAAAAAAATAGGGTTAGCAGATGGTCATTCTTATAAACCAGTGTTATCCTAAACCACGAGGCGCGAAAAAATGAGTTGGGGAGATGCGAGTTATTTATAATACCGCAGATAAAGAAACATAACAGTCACTAAATCTGTGAACTTTCCTGTATCTCGATTATTTCACTAAGCAATTTGCAATCTCAATTACAAAAATTATGTCGTTTTTCTTAATGAATACATTAATTGTATATTACTTATGCATTTCTTTAATTGATTTAATTGATCCACTAAAATTAGCATACTATTTAAAATAAATTTAGATGTAATTATTATTTTTTTAATACGCTAATTACAATCAAAACAACTTTTGCATGATTGCAGATAATTGAAGAATTTCACGATCAGAAATACTACTGAGTGTGCCATCAAAAGTAAACGATTAAAAGATTAATTAAAATCTTGGCGAATTTTTTTTTCCTGATAAAAAATAGAGTTAAGTAATCCTCGAAGTATAAGTAAAGAGGATAAGTAAATAGTTATTTTTTTACGTGCTATTATATTTTTATCATTCAAATGGGTCATTTAAACAAATGATTTTGGTGGATCGCGATTGCAGGCTGATAACAATCGAATAACGCACTTTTATCTGAGATCGCCTTATCGCATGATTGGGAAAAAGTCGTTGCAAATTTGCCGTCTATCCTCTCTCACACACACATAGAGAAATTAGTTATCATCGGCGCCCTCCAAATAAGAATTTGTTCTTGAGTGGATTTTACGTTACAAACAATGGTATCTGTTATCTGCACGCGTTTATTTCAAAATTATAATTAATTTTGAGTGAATCAAGTAGGTGTACCTATCGAATATTTTTATTCAACGAGATAAAATATGTGACATTGCTGAGAGGAAATAATAAAGAACTACACAGATGATTATTGTTAATCTTCTATTTTTCTTTTATATTTTTTTCACGATGAGTTTTGTTCAAATTTCTCATCCGTGTGATGCAGTTGTTCTAATGCCGTTATACGTGTTCCATTCAGGTGAATTCTCCGGCTTTAAATATATGAGCTGCGCTAACAGTACTGCAGCCAAAGCACGTTTTCATTCTTCACGCGATTTAATGAGGCGAAAAGAGGAGGAAACAACAAGGCCTGAACTGTGCACTATGCCATCATGATGATGATGTTGATGATGATGCAGATCAAAGTAGTTCTCTCGCCAGTCTTCTGCAACAATTGTCTGAGCTACGCGATCCCATTCCGTCCATTATTCAGTCTATTCAATATCAAAGGGATTCCTAACAACGGAGATGATAATCTTCCCACTATTTTTTCAATACAATGCATGTGTTTTATTTATATTTACGTTCGTTTATTTTGCGCAGTATTCCACGTGTCTGCATTTTGCATAATTGATTTCCAAAACTACATACAATATGATTTCAATGGATGAATGTATCTAAAACTAAACTCACTTTGTGGTGCATTCGTATTTGCTTTGAGCGGTTGTAACATCCTGTGCCAATACCTCTTTAATAAGCATATATTTGTTGATAACCGGAAATAGCGCACACAGCATTCTCTTGCGCGGCTTTCGAAACCAGCTTGGGGGGCCCGGGTCGTTCGAAGAGTACTCGGCTGGGCTCGCAACGAGACGATTTAAATGAGCACACAATTGCTCATTCTTTCTTTCTGTTTTGTTAAATGCTCCATTCCGCTAATTAATTCCAACGATAGAGAGGATTTTTTTTAGTGAAACGCAGCCAACAATGGGCGAGGTACGTTTTCCTTTGATTTGAAAGGATAAGTGAAAACGTTTTCATGTTGGCTTCATCACAATGAAGAAACTTTCCTTGTAATGCATTATCAATATCTTAATATTTTATAACATTAATTGATAAAATCAATTATATTATTAGCATACGAATGTTACTATAAAACAAGCACTAAATTTGTATACACTAAATTTTGTTCATATTTATGTTTTTTCACTATTTATTAAAAGTGAACGTGAATACATAAAAAAACATAGTCAAACATTTTAATTAATTTAAATTTAAAAGTTATGGGATATTAATGATTAATTTCATTTCTAATGTAGGAGGAATAAAGTTGCTTAACTTAAAATTAGTTATGTTCATCGGATGTCTTTGAGTTTTTTAATGAATTACCTAATACACATGTATTGATTTAATTTTATAGAGTATTAATTAAAACAAGCCGGTTTAAACATTATTTCAGATATTTTACTATTGGAAGAACTCGAATCTTATGCGAGAAGAACTTTTGTTTACACGTTTAAAAGAAGAAGTATTTTAATGCTCGTCCGTGCTTGAAGCTTAAGTCTTCAGAAGGAAAGTACAAAATTTCACTCGCAGTAAAACTTTTATTAAATTACAACTTTGGTTCTTGCGCGCACGGTATAAAAAGATCGCCTAAGGTGGATTTCGAGTGCAATAGAAGAAATCGAAACGATTAAGAGAAATTTTTCCTTTCTCTATTGGTGGCTGCATCTCGGATTGGATGAAGTAGTCCGTAGATGATGATGATGATTTCGACTGAGTGTGAATTTTGTAGGTCATGCATATGGAACGAAGAATATTGTTTGGTGATTCTTAATGATTCGCGTCGGCCAATAAATTATTGATGGGAGACGACAAAAGAAGTTTGCGAGAAAGGGATGAAAAAATAATAAATCATTATAAGGCAAAACCCGCATCAGTTTCCTTAACTTAATTGTCCTTTGTTCGATGCGATCTATCAATGTGTAACGTCAGGCGTTCTCGTTAATATGTAGCGTCGTAAAAACAAAACCAAGTATTATGATGTTGTATTGTTTTCTACCTTCTTATTTTTTTTGTGTGTGCCGAAGAAATTCATTTAGCATTATTCCTTGGAAGTGTCCCAGAGGACGCAGGCGAGTGAATAATTTTTAGTGTGGCAATTAATGTTTTAGAGAATTTACATTCGGCTGTCATGGGGTGCATTTTTAAACGGGTCGTCCATTATTTACGCCCCCTTTTCCAACCTTCACTCGGTTAATCGATTATCTTAACATTTATTTTAGAGGAAGGCGTGAATATTTTATGCACCCGCCTAATGCCGAATTCGCATCCCTTTTTCACTCGTTGTTCTTCTATGTCTGTGCTTACCACGACGATAGTAATGGATTACATTTTTTTTTTATATTCTAAATATTTTATCTCGAAGGATCGCGTTGTATTAGTTGTTTTTTTTTACCCAAAAATTTTTTTTTTGTTAACTATTATTTATTTCGGTGAATGTTGTCGGAATTGCGTAAGTTCTCGCACTCTCGCACACGCAGCATGGTTCGCAACCTTGGTGCGGTTTTTTTTATTGGTTGTCCTTGCAAACGGATGCCAGCTCAGCCTGCAGGTGCTGATACATAATGTTAAGGTCCTTTTTTTCCACGCACTCTCACGCATTTCGAGAGAGAGAGAGAGAGAGAAGAAGAAAAAAGAACGCCTTACGCAACTTCTCGTCCTCTCGCTCGTTCCTCTCATCTTTGATAAAATGTAGAATAGATAGGCGACACATCCAGCATGTTTATGTTGCGCGACGCGTGAATTATGTTCCATTTCAATAATGGCATTGTTGGTGGAGCGATGCGAAGGTTAAGAAGTTTCAAATTTATTTATGTGTGTGCCTACACACCTACGTTTTGCCAGCGTGTTGCAAGAAACGTGGTGGAAATAAATGAGGAGACGCTTCTCTATCTCGCACACGCACTCTTCATCTGTTTATTTTGCCTCGCCCAAAATCCTGTCTACGTAAAATACAATTGAATTTGACCCAATGCTTTTCTATATGTCCAATCCATTTGGTTGTTTCCTCCCTTAACACATTTGTTTAAATATATTTCGCACGTTTTCTTTTTATTGTAAATTTTTGTTATTTTCATAAAACTCATAGCACTGTACTTCAATATTTAAACTGTCTTTCTTGAAACTTATAAATCAAATATTTTTATTTTTTTTTGCAGCCAACAATTTTATAAACGGGGGCATGGAGTCGGGGGCACAGCAGTTCTGCCTTAAGTGGAATAGCTTTGGTAGCAATTTGGCGACGTCGTTCAGTAACTTGTTCAAGAGTGAGACCTTAGCGGACGTGACGCTCTTCTGCGATGGCGTTTCTTTCAGGGCGCACAAGCTCATCCTCGCCGCTTGTAGCAAACACCTCGCAGACCTCTTCGAGACGGCGCCGCTCCATCAAAACCTTTTGGTCATATTGGACGGCACGTCGGCCGTCAATATGGCAGCACTCCTAGAATTCATGTACAAAGGGGAAGTGCACGTTTCGCAGGATTCCCTATCGAGTTTCCTGAAAGCCGCCGAATGCCTGCAGGTAAGACATAGTTCGTCAACTCTCAACTATGGAAACTATTTCGATCATTTTACAGGTGAAAGGGTTAAGCATCGAACATGAGAAATTGGTGCGAAGCCAGAGCATGGATCCGTCTGGCAACGGCGAAATGGAAAGCCCAACAAGCAGAAGCAGTAACGGCAGCAATAAGCCACTCAAAGTAGAAGCAGATATGCCACCACAGAGTCCCTCGTCGTATTCTCCAGCCATGTCACCTTACCTCCAGCATCACCATTACAGACAGCCGTACGATAGGAGGCCGTTGCGCAGCCCGACCCTTCAGGAAAGGGCGAGCGTTTTACGCGATGGTAGCAAATCCGGACGACCTCCATCACCGGGCCCCATGTCACTCGCCTACCGTCCCTCGAGCAGTTCCTCGTGCTCCCTGCCCCCTTCGCAGCAACCGGAAGCGGATGCCGCATTACCAGAAAGATTTGAAAACGACCCTCAAGCTACTGCACTCATTTGTCCACCATCAGAAGCCAACTCCGCTGACCATTGCCATCGCGACCCTGGATGTCCAGAAGGTATTTATTATTAAATTCAAATCGTAATTACGTAATTTAACCCAACGCAATTACAGATCTTCGAATGAAACTTGACCCAACTCCCATACAAGAAGAACCTTTGAGCAGTACAGGCAATTCCAACAGTATCGTCCCTATGAACACAGCAATTGCAAACGGAGCTTCACTAGGAATGTACGACGCTGCAGATACCAATATGAACAAAGACCGCGATCTGATACCAACGACGCTATGGAACTCAGTTACTAGTAAATTATCCAAGACAGGTGCCATTACCACACCAGACGGTATGTACTCGAATCTCCCAAACAACAAATACGTGATAACTAATTGTATTTCGTTCATTTTTTTTGAATGTTACAGGTAAAAAGTTGAAGTGCCCTTTCTGTGAACGTCTGTATGGTTATGAAACGAATTTGAGGGCGCACATAAGGCAAAGGCATCAAGGTATTCGAGTTCCATGTCCGTTCTGTTCGCGAACGTTCACTAGGAACAACACAGTACGTAGACATATTGCTAGAGAACACAAAACAGAGCTGAGTCTGAAAGCGTTCCAGCAACAAGTTCACAACCCCTAGTAGCAGTAAACTGTTTAAAATAATTATATCACACACGTAAGTATCCGAAGAGCTGGTCTCTGAGGAACAATCGGATTATGTACCTTCCCAAATAATTATAAAAAAACGCACGATACATGTGTCTAAGAGCCAGCAAATCGGATTACTGCGAGGTACCGCAACAGCCACATCTACCTCATAAAACAGTACAAATCAAATAATTAAATCTTCAATGATATATATATATTTATCTTTGCAATAACATATATTTAAATAGTGCAATTTGTTAAAGTTCGCGGTACCCAAGCGGTCTCCCAAATTGCGGCTCACTCCCTTTTGGTAACAAAAACAAACATCACCAAATTTATCATCACGTCTGCAAGTTCCCGTACTTACTTTTTTTTATTATAAATGTTTCGTTATTCTCTCGACTAGTCTGTCACATATTCTACTTCCCATCTCAGGTACATTTGTTGATGTATTTACAATTAAGCTCTAGTTTAATTTTAAAATGGTTGTCTCTCTCTCTCTTTCTGTAAATCTTTCTCTTTAAACGTTAAAGAGAGAAAGAAAATTTAAAAACAAGAATAATTGAAAGAGTGCGTCGTCCTATGATTTTTGAAAAAAAAATTATATGAAGAAAAAGTAAACTGCCCTGAATGTTGTTTAATGTTATGTAATATTATATTATATACTGGAAGCTCCTTAAGGTTTTACAGGAGTTCGCGTATATAGATGTTAAGCAATAGATTTTAAGCAGTCGTATCTACCTCACAAGCCATACCAAAATAGATATTAATATATAAGGTTTTTTACTAGTCATTATCTCTCATCTGCTCGTAGATGTGTTCTAATAAGTTTTAATATTGATAACTACCTCAGTATTTTTGTTTTGTTGAATCGTTTAGTCATGTTTTTTTTATCCTCCTTTGATCTACCTCAAACAGTGAGAATTTTCTGCTGCGGCCAGAAATAGACTAGGTTTAAGTTCCTCAAAATACAACAAACACAATTCACTTTTTTTTTTAATCGAGATTTCTCGAACCTGAAGATACATCTATGCACAAGAAAAACATAGATGGATCTACAATCCTCAATAGTGTGTTCTTTAAGTTACAAGAAGAAGCTGTTTATATATTTTTATGAATATAAACATATTGTGATTATTTACACAACTAAGCAATAATTTACTGAGCTGCCAAATAATATACAAACCGCAGCAGATTTCTCACAATGACAACAACAATATATATATATATATATAAAACAATAGCTTTAATATGACAGGTTTTTAGTTTGTTATTTTATTATTAAATAGAGAATATATTTACATTTCTTTTTCCTTCCTTTATTTAATAGACTTCTACATAGGATTTATTTACAATTATCATCTTCTACAACAACAAATGAAACTAAACTGCCGATTCACTATTATCTAAATACGTATATACTTCTGAGGCTACCGAAGTCCGTTGACAATGAATGAAAGCTTCTTCGACAGTTGTTCAGTTTTTATAAATGTGAAATGCTATAGCAGATTACAATAAATACGGGTATATTTAAGTAGTTTTTAGGTGTGACTGGTCGAATGTAAGCGGATCTTCGGTATTTAGTTTTAATCTTAGTCTACCTCAATTGCACACATCTACTACAATCAAATCACAACAAGAAATAAAATAGTAATAACTATATTTAACAAAATACGGGTATTAAATGTTAAAGTAAGCTCTTCGAAATGTATGTTTTTTTATTTGTTTTTAAAGGCATTCAGGGTTCACATTTCCTATGAACCGTCCAACATGAAAATTTGTAAAAAAAAAATAATTGAAGGCATTCGTTTTGGACGGTTTGTGGTTGCGTAATATCTTGTAAATAAATTGCGCTACGTTGATTTTAAGTTTGTTTAGTTTATTAAGATTTCATGTTTATTGTTTCTTTATTTTTGAATCGTTTATTTTATCGTTCTTTCTTTTTTTTTAATTTTATTATTATATGTTTTGATGAAAAGTCCAACGATGATGTTCTTTGTTTGACTCTAAAGTAATTATTTTATTTAAAAAAAAAGGTGGCGCATCACTTAGTGGGCGCTAACACGAGAATATTCGATGGTTTTGCACCAAACTATACACACGTAAGAAGACAAAAAAAAATAATAAAAAACACTTCCTGTCCAATTTCTAATTATTATATGATGTTGAATTACTTGTAATTATCACTCTCGGTGTAACTTAAGGATTGTAAGAATTGTAAGAAGAAGATGAAAAAAAAAAAAAGATGTGGGACAGGGTGGGACGTTTGTGGATGTCCCAGGCTTCTGTAAATGTTTTGTATAATTATTTATAAAGAATGATGTTGATCCTTGTTACCGGTGTATTCGCTTTAATGTGTGTCCCCTTTTTGTCGTCCGACATTTGGCGCAAGGGTGGACGTAAAAGATGTATAAAAAAAAAACAATTGAATTATGAAAACAAGCAAAAAAAAAAAAAACTTTAATCTTTAAGACAATGTTGCACGCCACCTCCATGGCCGGTCAGAAATTAAGATTGTTTAGGCTAGGAATTGAAAATGTAGGTTTTTAAGGTGAAACAAACAAATTTGGAAGAAAAGCGAAACTCGTACATGGGATGTAGATAGGGTACAAAAAAACGTTGTGAGTGAGGATTTATTTTTTTTGTATAAAGGAATTGTTGGGATTGGAGCGTGTCTGAGGTCTGAGCCAAAACCAAGGAGGCGGCCACTTCGTCTGTTGTGTGTCAGTTTCTACTTCTATATCTCTCTCTAAATATATATTAAAAAAAAAAAACAACAAAGGATAGTTTGTATTGCACTTCTTGTTCGGATCACGTGCGAAACGTAAACACTTCCAAAGGTGGGCTGAAGAAAAATTAAAAAATAAATAATATTTTTTCACTCAAGAACTATTTTTATTTAAACGTGATTGATATATACATAAATATATATTTAGAGCTTTTGGAAACACCGTTGGGAGTTTTACGCTTCGGTTAATATTTATATAAAGATAAACCCATTATAGTTTTATTATAGTGGCAATGCAATGTTATATATTGATGATACAAAAAAAAAAGAAACAATAACAAAAGGAGATAATGATTTTGGAACCCAAAACATACCAATTTCTAGAGTAATTGTAAATGTAACATATTATAATTAATTGTATTGAATATTATTATTATTATGACTACTACTACTATTATTATTATATTACTTTGTTAATTATGTTATTTTTAAGTTGCTTAGACTATTATTATTGTTCAACTCAGGTATTTTCTTTTTAATGTTCAGGGATTTTATTATTTATTTTACGTTAATTTTCAGGATAATGAATTTACGGGTATTCTATATGTTTAAATAAAAAATAATGTTTAAAATGAAACTAACTTGTGAGGAATTGTTGAGAGCTTCGGCGGAAGTTGCAGAGCGAAGAAGCAAAGCAACAAACTAAAAAGAAGAGAAAGCATGTATATTTTTGAAGAAATTGCACACAGAGAGCTCGAATACAGTGTATATTATATGGATGAAGAAAGTGAAAAAAGAAAAAAATATATATATATATTCAGGTGCAAAGAATAATAACTAAGAAACAGTACAAATGTGCATCTACCTCATTGAATCCTCAGCTCATATATAAATATATATATTATATTGCTACTGAAGAACATTTTTCTAGTATAGCATATATAAAGAAAATATATTATATTTAATAATAAAATGATTGAAAAAAAAAATGCAAGTACAAAAAAAAATGTGTGTAAAATTAAAAAAAAAAAAGTAAATAAACAATTGTAATAAGACATGTTAATAACTCTCAGGTATTTAATATAAAATGGTACAAACATAAAATATGAACAGGAGTCACACGCAGTCTGGAATCTCTATTAAATTAATTTAAGCTCTCACGTCAATCTTATTAATATCGGCATTTCTTTGTACTTAAATTCGAGAGAAACGTATATATATATATATGAATATACATGAAAACATCACATTTTATAATTTCATTTTTTTTTTGTTAATTTGTAGATATTATAAGACATGTGAGTTATTTAGTGCAAATTTGAAGAAGATGAAAAATATATATAATGTAAGAAAATTTGAATTTGGGCTGGGTCGGTCGCGTTGAATCCCGTTTCCACATTGGTCCATTGTAAGCGAAGAGGCGGTGCTCCGCGAATCCGACCTTCGAACCCATTTCGTTTTCTTTTTGCATTTCTTTTGTTTTTATTTGTTTCCGTCTGTGTAATCCTCCCATCACCCCTCCACCGACCGTCACAACTATTAACATTACATTGTCACTTCGCAATGTAATGTAAAAATAATTGAATTTATAAGAAAAAATATTATATATGTGCAGCGGCGTGTATGTATACATATTATTCAACAGCGCAACTCTCTGCAAGGGAGTCTAAATTAAATAACAACAACAATGTACTATTATTATTATATTATATATTAATTGTATATAAGCATATGATGTATTCATGTTCTGTTTTCCTTATTAATTTTAATAAACAATTTGACGTTTAACTTGATTTCTTATTTTGAATCCTTCCTATTTCCTCTCAATTCTTAGTTTCATGAATTAAATATTCTGACACATTTTGATGTTCTTCATTAAATTTTCTGTAGTTTCTTTTACCACTCATGATCAAATATCTTTTCTAAATGTTTCAATGTTCGATTAATTAAGTAAAACGCAAGTGAACAATGTGTTATAATTTGAAAATTGAGAAACTCATTACACAGAAATTGTATATATTTTGAACTTATTAGTAGGAAAAAAACTAAATTTTATTATGAAAAATATTAATTATATCAATTATAAAAGAAAATCTTGATGCAAATATGCGAGGGGTCTAATTAAAGATCGCTAAGTTGGCATTAATTCATTTGTTTCTGAAAAACAAAAGTGTTTTTCTCAATTTGTTAAAGTCTAACGATATTTCATGTCAAATTTCAAGAAATAAAAAGTCTTCAGTTCCAAAAAGCCGATTTTGAGAAATGTTTTGAAAAATGGCTCTAGTGACTTAAAAACTGTATTGAAATAAATGGATATTATGTAGAGGAATTACAAAAGGATGAAAATTTAAATGCCAACTTTTTC